CAGGGAGTGGCCTGCAGGCATGTGCCCCTGGACTGCTGGGCTCCGAACCCAAGACGATGAATTTGTACCCGTTTAAGGTAACTTCTAATGGCAGCCCAGGAACTGAAACAACTGCTCTTCCTATCATAAGATAATGCACCTTCATTATTAAAATCATCCTGGTTAAAAGCATTAGGAAGAGACAAGAATCTCTAGAAATCCCACAAACCTTTAAAAAGCTTGTTACAACAATTTTTTTAATGTTTTTTTTTCTATTTATGGATATACGCAATCATACCAACTATACCAATATATGATTTTAACTCGTACATTTCAAAATATTATTAACTATGAAAATGAATTAGAGGTGTGCGTATTCTCACATAAAAATCTGCATTGACAGTCTTTAAAGAGTCCTGTGCAGAGCTGTATTTCAAAGGCCAAGACAGGTGTGCACTTTCTTCTGAAGCATCCTGTAAGGTAACTCGGGCAGCTCAGGGGAGAACTTTCCTCCCCACCAGCCAGTTTCTGAAAATGCTCTTATATAGAAACGCAAGCCTTTATTATAAATTCTTCTCTAGGAGGATAGAAGAAGCTGCTTGAAGTAAAACACCCTAAACTTGTGGGAGTGTGGTTCCTAATACCTCCGTGGAGAGCTCCACCTGCCTCAGCCACACTTTCCCGGGGAAGCAGGGGACTTGCCACCTGGAAGCAGCCCGAGGGCCCTGGCTGGGCGCAGGGGGAGGCCTGAGTTGGCCTGGGCCCACGGGACCCCTCGCAGAGGCCGGGGTCCTGCTGGGACACTGGGCATTGGTGCCTAGCCCCAGGTGGCTCAGAGTCGGTCTCCGCTGTGCTGCGACTGCTGTCTCTTTGGTGAGACGTCATTTGTTCACCTTGAGGGCTTTCTTTCCCACTTTTTATTTCCAACATTTCCTGAAATATTTTAATACAAGTAAATTAGTGAAAGAATATTTTAAAAACTTGACAATAAAGTTCCTCCATGGATGCTTAGACATCTGAGGTACTCGTTGGAGACAGGATCATCTCTTTACCAAACAGTGTTGGGAAACTGGACTGAAGGCTGACCCCTCTTGCCGTGTTCAAAAGGAATCTCAAGTGGACCCAAGACCTTAACGTGAGCCTGAAACCGCGAAGGGACTTGCGGAGAACAGGGGAAACGTTGCGATGTTGGTGAAGGCCATGGCTATCTGGACAGGACTCAAAACACAGGAAACAAATAGGCCCTGGCAAGGGGGTTACAGGAAGCTCAGGAGCTTCTGCACAGCCATGGAAACCATCACATGAGTGACCACCAGCCCCGGAGGGGAGGGGAGACCACCTGCCGCTGCTCATCCAACGGCTCAACACTCAGAACACAGGAAGACTGAGCCGTAAAGACCCCACACCAAGTATCAGCCATGTCCTGGCTTTCTGCACGACATCAGCGTGTCCTCCTGCTGCAAGGAGGAGGGAAGGAACAAGTGGTCCACTTAGAAAGGAGCAAAGGATCTGAAAAGGAGGAGTCCAGATAACTGCAGGAAAACATGCTCAAGCGGAAGGTCCTAGGAATTATGGTAGAAAAGGTCCCAACAAGGAGGACGAACTGCAGAAGTCTCAGCCCGCAAGCTCAGTGTGGGAGGGTGTCGGAGGGGCCACTGCTGCCAGCCAAGTCCTGGTTCTCTTCCTGCTGAAGGGGGAGGGAGGGGCCAAACATCTTTAAATATGAGCTTCACGTGGCTCTGACTTGCCTCTATGTGTGTGTGTGTGTGTGTGTGTGTCTGTCTGTGCGCATGCGCACAGGTATACGGATCTATGCACAGATGCTGTGGATTAAATATACATAAAAACCAGGTGAGATCATATATATAAATGTATGTAGAATCCACAAATAACACATTTAAGAATCATATGCCTTGATCTGAATCGTGACTTCACCAAGCAACCTGAATCTTGCTCACATGGGAGACTCAGGTCTCAGTGTTGTACTCCAACCCTGCCAAGGATAACCAGAGTACACATGTGTCATTCTAAGTTTTCTGGTAACCACAGTGAAAAGTTAAGAGGAGCAGGTGAACTTAATTTTAATAATATATTTTCCCCAGCATGACCAAGAAATGGTTCCAACATGCAATCAATATAAAATCTGAATGCAATTTCCCCTTTCTTTTACTACACCACATTCTTTGCCATCTCATGAATTTCACAAGTATACCCACTCTCATTGATGCTAATTTTTTTCTTAACTAGTCTATCTAATTTAGGTTTTGTAAAATTTACAGTTGAAAATTAACATACTCAAGTTGTTCCAAACCTACTTGAAAGTTACAGAATACCAGAATCCGATACTGGTTATTAAAGGACTCACAGGGACAGGCAGTGAGAACCCTTCATGCAGTTCCAGGGAACAGTGTTGGTCCTGGCCACTATGCGGTGAGGAGGGCTGGAGAGAAGCAGCCTTGGATGTCCTGAGGAGGGGGCTTCTTTAGCTTCAGGCCCTCCAGGCGGCAGGCAGTGGGTTTTAAGTTCCAGCGAAGGACAGACCCTAACTTAGATCACCTCGCCTTGGCTCAGGCTCCCTGGGGTCCCCGCCCCTTCCTTCTGCTTCAGGACAGCCTCCGTCAGACTCAGGCTCAGGCTAGGGGCATGGTGGCCTCAATGCAGGCTGCACTCGCTGACTCACCCATTTTGGCATCACGTTGAAGTGTGTGCAGTTTCTTCTTTCAGCATTCTTTTTTATTCTTTCTTATTTCATATCACAGCTACACAACTATGTCTTAAAGAGAGTTAAAACTGTCTAACCTCCAAAATAATTTCCCACCAGGCGCCTCGTGCACACCTGTGATTCCAGCCTCTCGGGAGGCTGAGGCAGGAGGCCACAAGTTCAAGGCAGCCCAGGAGACTCAGTGAGATACTGGCTCAAAGTTAAAAAGTGAAAATTCAAGTAAGGGAAAAGGACCTCTGGCTTCATTCTCCAGTTCCAAAATGCAAAGAATAAAATGATTTTAGAACAGTCCCAGTTGTTTATTTGCTTTTTTGGGTCTGATTTGACAATTTGAAGCATAATTATCTTTCATGACCCCACAGCCCTGGCGTCTTTCCTTTTTAGTGATCACAGCATTTATCCTAGTTATTCAATTAACTGATTTAAAATAGCATGAAAATCTAAACAAATTAAAAGCAAACTAGCTTTTGTTGTGCAAAATATTAAATAATGTGATAAACAAAGTCATTCTCTCAGGGAGATGAAGGAATGTGCATCAAGACTACTTGAAAGATCATCATTAGACATAATCTAGCTGAATCATGTAGATAAAGACGCTGAGAAGAAAGGTGGAAAATTCATTCAACAGTAATCAAGAGAACAATCTAGACTTTGTCCCCCAACAGAGATTCAGCCACTGAAGATGACCCTTGCCTTGCGTGGGCCTGAAGCCAGTGAGCTGAGATGCAGGGCTCTGCCCGCTGTCCCCTGGCTGATGCGAGGTGCTCTGCACCTGCTTCTGCCCTGCCTGCCCCTTGCCACGCTGGGTCCTGGGTGCAGGTCATGGGAGACACCTGAGCAGAGGCTGTGGGCTCCTGCCTGGGGAAGGTGCTCCCTGTGCACAGAGCTTTTCTGGCTCCTTTATGGTCTCCCGACACCTCCAGCCACCTTGCTCCAGCTCCTCAGCAGCCCAGGATGGTCCCAGGCAGGGAACAGGGCTCCCAGTGGACCTCCAGACGTTGCACCAGTGCCTGAACCTGTGCCGCCCAGTGACGCCATCTGAACTCTGCAGCTGCTGTTCCAGAGGGTGGCCTTTACTTCCCCAGAGCTGGTAATGCGGGTTGTTGAGACCCTGAGGACCAGAGATGACCAGGAGGTTCCAGCAAAACTGGACCCAGCAGAGGTGTTCACCAAACCCTGGAAGGTGCGCTTCTGAGACAAAGGGTTCACCCCAGAAAGAGTGGGGCATTTTGTCCAGAGGTGGGGTTCACCATGGTGGCACTGGCTGGGCAGTGGGCCTAGGGAGTGGCCTCTGGAGAGGGGAGATGCAGAGTTCTGGAGAGAGGCTGAGGTGGAGAATCCAGTGCGATAGCACAGACGCCTGGTACAGTGTGGGCACCCAGCGCAGCCCTGAAGACAGAGAGATCAGCACGTGGAGCCCGGGGCCAGTGGAGCAGCCACAGCACCACACCTGCAGCCGAGGCAGGCAGAGCCCAGGCCCAGGGGAGGTGGCGCTGGCTTTACCTGCAAGACCACGTGGAAGATGGGGGGCCATGAGGAGGCAAGGGCTGGGGACGTGCTAGCACCATGGTTCTTAAAGGAAATAAGACATGCCCAGCATCCTCAGATCTCTGAAGGACAGTGAGAGGGTGTCCTGTTCTGTTTGGGGGAAGGTGTGAGCTGTATTCCTGAGAAGCAGCAGGAGAAGTGAGTGGCCTACTCTGTAAAGGGCAGGTCACGCTCTCTGACAGCCGAGTCCTTAGTGACAGACCTGCACTGACTTGATACAAGTGAAATAAGAATCCATTCTATGTCAAGGAATCCACTCGTCGGTATTCATATGGAATGTGTGGGAGGTTCAGAAGTAAACACCATTGTTCTCGATTCCCGGTTTCTCCAGGTGATGTTTTCTTCAAACGGTTGGTTAAATTCGTGTTCCTCATGAGGTCCTCTGATCCAGCCACCGGGCTGACACAGAGGTGTGGCACTGAGCATGTCATCAGGGTGGTCTCTCCCAGGGAAGTGGATTCTGATGACCACCCACTGGGCAGCACAGGGCACTAGAGATGCTGCCCTGAAGGGAAGTTGGCAAAGAGTTGGCATCAAAGGAAGCTGTGGCTTGGGGACAAAGGGGGGTGGGGACACTGGTCTGGGAGCTCTGGGGAGAAGTTCAGTTTTGCAAGATGAAGGATCTGAGCACAAGGTGGTAGAGGATTCAAAGAAACAGAGGGAAGCAGAGGCTTGGGAGCAGCTGGCCTTTTCCTACAAGCCGGACTTCAGCTGTAGGAAAGACCACGTCCCTCGGAGCAGACGCCCTCGCACAGGAAGCTGCTCGCTGCCCATTACCATCTGAACCTACCAGCAGCAGGAAGCCCCGGCATGTCCTGTTTCTCCAGATAACTCACCAGGCAGAACGGGTTTTCATTTGCATCAGGGATGCAGTCTGAGGCCTTCGGACCCCAGGATAATACAGTGTTATAAGCCTTTGGGGATTTGACGATATTATCCGTCCAGAGAATTGCTGATTTTATTTATTTGTGTTGGAATGTGGTTTAATTGAGATAACAGATTAGAAGTGGTTAGGAGGCAGTCTGCCAGATAAGAAACCAGCAGATTCATCATTGTCCTTCTCAGTGAATTCATTTCCTCCTTTTCCTCCTGTATCTTTCTCTGGCTAACAAGAGCAGAGAAATATATGGGCTCATTTTTAACAGACAGGTCCAAGTTTTAAAAATATAATATAAATCCTTTCTATTTCATATTCTTCTGCAACGGTAATGCCATAAACCTCAATGCAACATTCAGAAGTTTTGGGAATGATATGCCAAGTTATTCTTGGCTTTAGGTAATATGTAAAACCCCCATCGCCAAAAATGTGCACTGTACAGAAAGTCTAAGAAACTATTTTTGCTAGATAAGTTTTCTTTCTCAGATATTATTTCAGAAATACTATTTTGAGCAGGTAAAGAGTCTGACAAATACTTTTATAATCTATATTCTTAAGATGTCATTACTCACAAATACATTGCATCACCCTTTAAAAACCTGTATTTTCTCTTTGGGGTAATATCTGTGATCATCAAGACGCGGGTTTCATCACTGAGTAGTGCAGATGGAATGACAATGAGGTGCAGCTGGGTGCCCCTGTCACTCTGCTGTGACTTTCTTTGGACACCCTGATGTCACAGCACATTACAGAGGACATGAGGGCTGAGCCCCAGCAGGCACACTGCCCTGGGTCCTTGGCAGTGGACCACACCTCTTAGGAGAGCTCACAGCTGGAGACGGTGGGTAGGTGCTACACAAGCCAACCTCGAGCCAGGGACAAAGGCGGGACTCCCTGATGCTAAAGTCTTCTTAGCCGTCCTCAATTGGGTGCACACAATGCTGGAAAGGCCATCGGGGATTAGGATTCAGAGAAGGCCTCCTAAAGGACAGAGCCCAGCCGTGGGGCGCCAGGTCTGGTGCAGAGTGGGAGGCTTGCACTCCTGGTGTCATGGGGTGACCAGGTGGCGCACCTTGGACAGGGGACTCCTCTCCTCACACTCTGCCACCTTGGGTTTTGGATGAGAGAAAGTCAGAGGATATCCACCCCAGGCCCTAATGACACATTCAGAGCTGCACCCAGCTCAGGTCTGCACCCCGCTGGCTGCTCTGCTCACCTCCAGACCACACAGAGCCCTGTCGCAGGAGAGAGCAGGCTGTGTCTCTCTGGTCTGATTCCTCCCTTTTCAGTTCTGTAGGACTGACTTACCACGTGACTGAGTTGGTCGCTGTCCTTGACCATTGAAGAAGCTGAAGTCCAATGAGGAGAGAGGAGCACGGGTCATCTGGGGGACCTGCATGTGAAATGCTGTGCGAGGGCTTGCACAAGGGGACAGGAAGCTGGACCTTCCTCTCCAGGGCAGTTGGCCCAGTGAGGCTGAGCCTTCCTGAGGGACAGCTTGGCAGAGCTGCACTGTGAGCCTCGGTGGGCACCCAAGGATGAAGGGGGCAGAGCCAGGTTGGCCTGGTGCAGGGACCTGAAGGACACTTCCTTCCTCCCTCCCTCTGTCCCTCTTTCCCTCCCTCTCTCCTCCCCTCCCTCCCCCTGTCCCTCCCTCCCTCCCTCCCTCCCTCCCTCCCTCTCTGACTTCTGAGGGTTGAGTTTGCAGCTTGGCTGGAGACCTTGGGTTCTCCTGCGGATCAGAGGGGGCCTGTCCATTAACTTCCTGGGCATCCTTCAGAATCAGCTCTCCCTCCCCCGAGGCCTCCTCTGCCCTGGTCCTCTGGCTTCTTTGCTTGAAGGGTGAATTTTCAGAGCAGCCCGAGGGGTCCAGTGGGTTTCTGTGGATTCTGAGGCCAGCATGCAGTGCTCTGGTGGACAGCCCAGCTTCCTGCCTGTCAGGGGGCACCTGCCTCTGGCTCCTCGCTTCCCAGCCTGCGGGACAACCACCGTCCCCAGTCCTTGCCACTGCTGCTCCACAGCTGAGGAGAAAGCCATGCCCGTGGCCCCACTCCATGCTGACCCAGCACTGCACACGTGGGAGGGGACTGTGTGCTGACTCACTGCCCACCAGGTGGCCGCTGACCCCAGTACTGGATGGCGGACAGAGGCTCCACTTGCAGCTGGACCAAGGCATTCCCTGGCCGTGAGCCAGGGTTGTTCTAACGCCCCAGACCGTCTGCAGCCGTCCACGAGTCCTTAATAGACACTGCTTTCATTTAATACGTTTAGATGCTTTTTAAGAATACATGTTGACTTTTCTAGTAAATTCTGAATAGTGTATAAAATGTGAATAAATAAGAAATCTTCCTTTGGAGAGTATTTCAGTCAACAAGTAACATTTTCTAAAACAGAGTTCTAATACTTAAAATACTATGCACTGTTGTTTTAAAATTAATTATGTGCAGTAGGAAATTAAAACATTTGTAAAAGAATCATGTTTTGTATAATTTAAGGACTCTGCTAATTGATCAAAGATGATGCGCCCCTCTCCTGCAGGAACCCAGTGATGTAAGGTCTGGTGCCGCACAGCCGTGGCCACATCCCAACACAGTGCCAGCCCCTCGCTTTACTAGGAGCAGTTAAAACAACCCAGGAACTCTGACCACTGGGTATTTGACAGCCCTCCCAAACCAAGCACCGGAAGAGTGAGACTGAACAGGAGTGGCCGTGGACCTGGGCCTTCCCGTCCCTCTGCACACTAAGTAGCTGCCGCCGGGTAGACACAACCTCACCTGGGTGACTCACCTTTGACAGCCTGCCTGTCCTTCCTGTTGCTCAAGAACGGAACTGGAGGAAACACAAACGGAAACTGTGACACACAGCGGCTTTATACGTCCTTCTCAACTGACTTTTAAACACTTATGTGATTGCCTGTGCTCACAACTATGCATTTTTAAAATCTGGCTATTTTTTTCTTAGCAATATGTAATAATTCCATCTAAAAATGCCTTTTATTTGAACCAAAATATTGGGAAAATAAATATCTTTTTAGTAGAAGTCCATATTTCATAAAACTAGTTAATATCCTAGGTTATCTCACTATAATAAGGTTGTGATACTATTTTATTATTTTATGCCTTTTTTACATCTCATTATAAAATTTATCCCCTTTCTTCCTTTTTAGACTTTTTTAAAAATTAAAATTTGTTCTATTTAGTTATACAGGTCAGTAGAATGCACTTTGATACATGATATAGGATGGAGTTTGATGTCTCATTCTTCTGGTGGTACATGCTGTGGAATCCCTCTGGTCATACAGGCACGTGTGCACTAGGGTGATGATGCCTGATTCATTCTCCCATCCTTCCTGCCCCCAAGCCCCCTCCCTCTCTCCCCTCCCCTCTACCTAAAGTACCCCCATTCTTCCCTAACCCACCCCATTGTGAATTAGCACCCACACATCAGAGAAAACATTGGCTTTGGGTTTGAGGGGTATTTTTTTGTAGGCTAATTTTCCAGAATATTCACCTGTAAGCCTTCTGAGTGTTTCTGATAGGCAAGCCAGTGACCTACTGCTACACATTATCCATATGCTGCTACTTCTGGAGAAAGGCTTGGTATTAGTGGGACTTTGTCACTGACATCCCTGGAAGAACAAAGGGAACATAACATTGACAGGCAACCTGTGGCTTTCCTAAAGTTACTCGGTTGAAACCAGCAACTCATGAAAATTCCAAAATTGTGAGAGAAAGTGTGTGTGAGTGTGTGTATGAGAGAGAGTGTATTGTGAGTGTGTGTATGTGTGAGAGTATGAGTGTTTGTGAGTGTGTATGAGAGTGTGTGTGTGAGTATGTGTGTGTGAGTATGTGAGAGTGTGTATATGTGAGTGTAAAAGTTTGTGTAAATGTGTGTGAGTGTGTTTAAGTATGTGTGAGTGTGTGAATGTGAGTGTGTGTGTAAGTATGTGTGAAAGTATGTGAGTGTGAGAGTCTGAATATGTGTGTGTGTCTGTGTACATATGTGTGAGTGTGTATGTGAGTGTGAGAGTGTGTGCATGTGACAGTGTATGTGTGTGAGAGTATGTGTGAGTGTCAGTATATATGACAGTGTATATGTGTGTGTGATAGTGTGTGAGTGCAAGTGTGTGAGAGTGTGTATGTGTGAGTGTGTGTGTAAGAATGTGTGTGAGTGTGTAAGTATGTGTGTGTGAGTATGTGTGTGTGAGATTGTATGTAAGTATGTGAGTGTGTGTGTGTGTGTGTGTATGTGCTGCACACTGGGAGGGATGGCCATGTCCCTCCCAGTGCTGGACAATGAACCCACTGGAGACTTGTGACCCCTAACACAGAAAACCCAAAAAATAAATTAGATTTATCCCAAAAAGGACAGCCAGGCTGTGCCCAGGAGGCTCAGGGACGCTGCCCACGTGGACACAGGAATGAGGAGGACCATAAAACCCCCACTGATGAGGGAGGTGGGGGAAGGGGAGGGAGCCCGCAGGGAGCCAGGCAGGGGACACCATCGTCCCCTCCCACAACTTCACCTGCACAGCAGCCCCTCGAGGTGCAGGAGGAGGGCAGGTGTCTTGTTCCACAGGGGCCTTGACACACATGGCACCATCATGATAAAACGTGAACCACTGAGCTCCTAAACGTGCTCCGAGGCCCGCCACGTGGTTTGCACGTGTGGTATGTGGTCTATACAGGATGCGCCATTGCACTTAAAGACAGCGATTGGCCATCAGGTCGATTTGCTAAAATACTTACAATTTCTGTGTGAAGAAAGCCCTTGTCTTTAATTTGTCTCCATTATTCACAGAGGACACCTCATGGCCTGACCGGGCTCTGTACCTCGTCCTCCGCTGGAATTGCCTGATGGCAGAGGGAGTCCTGAGAGCCAAGTCCACACCAGCCAGCTGCGTTCCCTCCCTGCAGGGAGCCACCTTTAATTGAGTAGTTAATGAGTCAGACAGTGGCCCCCTTCTGGGAAGTGCACGTCCCTCGGAGAAGCTTCCTCGAGGCTGGTGGACCTCTGCCTCATTTTCACAAATTCGCAGTGTGTAAATGCAGAACCAGAGGGACATGAGCAGGCGCCGTGGAGACTGTGCTCCAGGATCTTGGCATCCCTTGGAGGAAGGGGAGCGAGGAGGCAACTTAGAGAGAACAGGGTGGTCCTGGCTGGAAGACAGCGCCGGGTGCGAGGGCAAGCACCTGAGCAGGCACCGTGTAATGAGGTGAAACATCTAGAAGCGGTCAGAAGTGACTTTTAAGGTGGTTTCTTAAATTTCCCAAGTTAACATTTCAGAAAAAAAAATAGAGCCATTTTGTTTGAGATTGAACTTGGGGGCAGCATCCACCTCCGTTGTCTTCTCCAGCCCCACGGAAGGCTTCTGTGCTCATCACAATCCTTGATGGTAAGTAGAGCCACTGCTGCTGCTCAGGAGATGAAGCCCCGGTGCACACAGCTGGGGGCCGTGTGCCATGGGGCAGGAACTCCTTCCCGCGTCCCCAGGGGATGCCTCTGCCCCCTCTGGACCAGGGCCTGTGGGAACCTGAGGACTGTGGCCTCCCGCCCAGCCCAACCCTGCCATTGGAGGTCAGGTTCTGCTGAACAAGGGCTAGTTCCATATGTTCAGTTTTTTTTTCCTGGAATCCCTCCTTTAACTCCCCCTTTGGGGGTTTGTTTCCTTCATAAATAAACTATTTAGTGAAGAAAGCATTGAAATTAATTTTGATTGACCTCCATGCTTTGGGGTTTGTTGTTGCTTTTTAGCACAGGATCTGGAAATTACATTTATTAGAACAGAAAATCACTCCCAAGTTTTATAACTACTTAACACAGAAAATTATGTTATTTTCAGGTGTTCTTAAATTGCAAATTAGTCCTGCTTTTGCCAGATCTAAATCGCATGCCCCATGTCCTTCCTGATAGCAGCCCTCCCACATGCACGAGAGTGGTCACTGTACTGATCCTTTTGTGCAGGACTGTGCACCTGTCAGTCTCTCCAGAACAGACTCACAGTGCAGGTGCTGTCCACATCTGTCTGTCAAACATCTCAGAGACCTGACTCAGAGCCAGAGCTTGCCTTGGGCAACAGGAACCCGGTACCTAGGTCCACGTTCCGTTCCTGCCCTGAGGAAGGCATGCATGGGCAGTAGCGTGTGACTTACTAGATCACACACAAGTAGTGATTACTTTGTTTGCTGTTTGCAAGACATCACAGGAAAGACCTGACCTGTTGCTTGATTTTCAAGATTCGCCCCAGTGCTGAGCACCTGCAGCAAGAAGGATCCTGTTTCCAGTGCTGCTCCGGAGCCCTCGCTGGGCTGCAGGTGGCTGTTGGCACTCTGCCCAGAGCTCTCTGTGTGCTCCCGTCCTGGAGGACGTCCAGGCATGGAGACTACATCCACTGAATCTGAATAAAGGACACAGCCTTCTTTTCCACATGAGACAGGCTTCTGAAAGATGAGGAGTTTGGAAGAGAGCAACAAAACCAGGCTCCGGGTGGACAGGACGTGCCAGCCAAGGCATATGGGATTGGAAAATGACTGAAGTCATCCGGAAAAAGCCAACCAACACTCAGAGACTGTTGAAATTAAGAAAGATCCTTCTAAATATTCTTGTACCAAAGATAAAAATATCGAGCAGAAGTTTTAAATGGCACCTAGTGCAATGAGAGGAGCAGCCAGTGGCTGACCAGGATTCAGAAGGGCTGGGCTGTGAGGACGCCGCTGGCCTTTCCACAGTGCATCAGAGCAGCACCGGCCTGCACCACCCAAGGCTCACGGCGGAAAGCAACAGGAAGCCTCAGTTGATAGAGCAGGAAGCAGAGCGTGTAGGCAGTAAGTACTGGTGAAGCACCCTCCTGAGGAAGCATATTCAACACTCACAGGCCAGGCAGAGCCAGAGAGCACAGAGAGGTGAGAGCCTGAATCTGTGCACCCCACCGCAGGGCAGATGAGGTGGAGTGACGGGCGATCACTGCATGCACCTGCACTACGTCACGTGGTTCAGAAACCAGGCAAGTTGGTTAATTCTCTGCCCAGAGAACAGATTACGAAACTGAGTCAAGCTTAATAGCAGTGCTGACTGAATCACTGTGAGCACCACTGGAAACTTTGGAAATGTGCCTAAAGATGTTTAAAGAAAGACTGGTTTTGTCAGAGATGGAAATTCACTATTCTTCTTGAATCTGCAGCCCAGATACTAGGGCAGTGGACAGCTCCTGGTGAAGTTTGACCCCAAAGCCCTCCTACACATGGAAGAAAACAGGTGGAACCAGAACAAACTCAAAAAGGAGGCCAGCCCCTAGGAGCAGGGCCCCCCCTCTGACACCCGAGCCCCGTCTGTGGGCATCTGAACACCCTCGGGAGACGCAGACACGTGCCAGGTCTGTCCTGTTTTCCTGCCCACAGCCCCCTGTCGGGTGAGCCCTAATGCTGCTCTTTCCATTTCCTGAGCCCACATCTGGACCTCAGGTACTTCCCCACAGGGTCCACAGGGAGGCAGGCTGAGCCCGAGACCAGGGCCTCCTGCTGGAGAGGGAGGCAGGGGGCATCTGGGACACCCAGCTGCGGCCTCCCGGAGCTGGGACCACCACCTCTCAAACATGGTCTCGATTTTATACAGCCCACTTGAGGTGCTGCCAGCCCAGTCTCCACTGGTCTCCTCCTTGCTTCATTCATATCTGACGGACGGTTGAAGGAATGAGAAGTTCCCTCAGCTCCTGCAGAGACACGGGTCCCGGCTGCACTGGGAGCCGAGTGGAAGCTCCCTTCGCACCCCCCTGCCATCCCTCCACTCTGCAGCCCCACAAGTCAGAGGTCAGGCCTGAAGAGTGGACCTGGGAGCAGAGAAGGCAGCCTGCCTCCATCTGCCTTTTGGACCTGGGCGTGCTCAGCACGTCCTCGGCCTGGGGTCTGGCCTGTTCAACATGATGAGACTCGTAAAGCCTGGGCAGCGTCCGACGCTGGAGAAGCACAGCCTAGCCGCAGAGGGGTCTGTGCCACTGCACCAGCTCAGCAGCTGCCGGACCTCCCGCAGTGTGGGCAAGCAGCTCACTCTCCCCCTCCCTGTCTAGGGTCTGCCTGTCTCGCTCTAGCTCCAAGCCTTGCCTGGTGCTAGTCCATACGTCTCCAGAACATAAACCACAGGCTACCTTTACAGTGTTTTGTCTGGTTCCTGAGTCTCTGTGCAGAACATGCTTGTCCCTTTACAATACCGTGTCCATCAATGGACTCCGTGAAGCCTGCTCCTCGCTCTGAGCTATGCAGGCTTTCCCCGAACACTACTACCTGTGATTCATGTATTGGCATAAATCTCCCTGAAGGTCAAAGACGTCCTAACTCTATAATCTTTACTGCACTGAGAATATATAAGCTCAGTTTGAAATGTTTTAAACTCAAATTGAACTTCTGTCAACTAATTCTTGAGCTTTAATCCACTTATAAATTATCAAGTTCTGACAAGTATTCGCTACAAAAATATGGAAAAAGAATATGACAAAAACTATTTAAGTGGTGATACAAGTTAATTTAGCAATTATCACAGGATGATAGGAAAAACTGTATCTCATCAAATTTTCTTAGGTGTTTATTATTTCTTATGGATAGAATATGATAGTTTAAAATGGATCACATTGGAAGTGGCATGACATTGACAGAAAGTTAACCGTTTTCACAGTTCTGCATATATTTAAACAGGAAATCAGATTCCATTTCAACAAACACAAAAGGTGGAGTTTTTGTGATAGAACCTATAAATTTCATAATTCGTGTTGTTTGCACAGAGGCCTTATGAGAACTCATCATCATCATATGAGGTGACTTCAAAGCAAGGTGCTGATCAGCCTAACAACACAGTCCCCTTCTTAAGTTACTGATAGGGCACTGCTGTGTTATTAAATGCAATTTCCTCTATTCCAGTTGATTCTGGTAGAATTGTGACAATTCTTAATGCCTAAATAGAAATCATAACAATTGAAAATGCAAGGCACAGGAAAGTACTTAATCAAACGACTTGGAGTGAGGGCTGGAATGAAGACCAAGAAGGAAGTTGGGATGCTGAGACCATGGCGTGCCTATGGGGCAGGGGGAGAACTCTCAGGCACAGGGTCTCTGAAGTCCAGGGGAAGGCATGCCTGGGTCTGGCTGCCTTCAGGTGGGACTACAAGTGCCACAGCATGGATTTAGAGTCTGCACAAGAACAAACTATTCAGGCTCCCGGTGGGAGTATTCCTTCTGTTATGGGGGACTGAGGCAGAAAGAAGCAGTTCTCTGTATTAAGGACATCTGGAGCTGGACATGCTCATAATCAGGAACAAATGTCCCTAACCTCAAGGCTGGGCTGGGAAGCACGTCCAACCTGCCCCCCTGGGTTTCGGGAACTGGCAAGGGGTCCCCAGTGTGGCCAGAGTCCTGAGGTCACACAGGAAGGAGGGCTGGCTGCACCTGCCCTGGGGAGCTAGACCCAGTTACCTATTGCAAGGCAAGAACTGGACATTCTCGTCAGTGGCCCTGAAGTGAGTGGAAGCGGAGCTAGGGCACCTGGTGGAGCAGGCAGGGTCAGCAGAGCACACAGTGGCCCTCAGGACCCTCAGTTCCTTCCACACACTGCATGCAGCAGAGGACACTGCCGGTGGGAGCTGCCTCCCTGGCAAGATATGAACCACTGTGCGGAAGGCCATGGACAATCACACCCAGGATGACGAGTCCACACGAGCATCCCGAAGCTCAGATGGTTTGAAAACAAGGGGCAAAGCAAAGTCAACGGGGTAACATTAAAGAAAGTCAGAGGAGGGTGACCAGGGAGAAGGTGTGGTGACCTAGGGCACAGAAGGCACAGAGGAAGCAAATGCATGACATGATTCACACAGTTACAAGCAGATCCTGGGACCGCAGGGTACTGGGGCCCACTGCATGGGAGCTGCCCAGGAGCAAAGGAAAACCGTCCTCAGAGACAAGCTTTACAAAGTCCACAAGAGATCAACTTAAAAATCAGCTCAGAGATATCGGGGTGTTACTCACACCAAAGGGGCATATCAGGGAAAATCTCAGCTGTCACATGAAAACCATCCAGGCAAGGTCTAAAGCAGAGAAATTAAATGCATAGCGGATTTCCTGGGAAGGCACTGTCTCAACGCAGAGGCCTGCCACCTGCCCCTCTCTGCCTGCCTCCCACCAAGGACTTGTCTGTCTTCCTCAACTTACTGCATGAGAATAAGAGCTCACTGTCTGCAAATGCCCTCGCATGGCCTCCTGATTGATCACAAAACCAAACCCAGAGGAAGTCGCCTGCTATGTTTGAGCAAAGAAATTTTTAAAAATGGTAAAAATTTTCTATTAAACTTGTTAGTGTGAATTTTTTTTTTCCAAAAGTGTGGAAAGGAGATACTTGAAAGCAAACTCTTGTATTAGAAAAGCCCATGATGTGGCAGTTTGAAGACACAGGTGAGGGCATCGCCCCCCTCACACTGTTGGAGGAAGAGCAGTAGGCTACCCACCCAGGCTGAGGATGACAGCCACCTGGCAGTGAGTAGGAACAGGGTTTGTTTGCAAGGGACACTTGGAAGACGCATGGAGTATAAGCCACCCTGGTGG